GCCTGCCGATCGATTAGATCGGCGATCGATTGATCGCGCCTGCCGATCGATTAGATCGGCTATCGATTGCTCATGCCTGCCGATCGATTAGATCGGCGATCGACTGCTCATGCCTGCCGATCGATTAGATCGGCGATCGATTGATCGCGCCTCCCGATCGATTAGATCGGCGATCGATTGCTCATGCCTGCCGATCGATTACATCGGCGATCGACTGATCGCGCCTGCCGATCGATCAGATCGGCGATCTATTGCTCATGCCCGCTGATCGATCACTCGGCGATCGATCGCTCGCCATCGATTGCTCCTTAGACACCCCGGGCAGTCCCGGGCAGCCGCGGCGCTCAGAGCCGGTACCTTCAGCACGGACAGATCCCAGCCCTGCTGAGCGATGTCCCGGTCGCTGCTGGCGCCGGCGATGCCCTGGAGGAGCCGCAGTGCCCGCACGCATTCCTGAGCTCTCTGGTGAACCTGCAAGAGCCAGCCCTGCCCTGGTAAACCCAGCTCCTCCAGAGCACAGATCTGGGCTCTCATCTTCCCCCCAGTGCCCAGCCAGGCTCGTTCCTGCAGTGCCGCTCCCTGAATTGACACAAACACCAAGGCAGGTGCGAGGCAGCAGCGCCGCGGCTCCCACAGGGACACAGAGCGTTTTTTGGGATGGTTTCTTTTTGGTGTTTGTTTTGAATTCAGTTAATCTGGCAGCAGCCGGCTGGAGATGAGCAAAAGCCTCTGCTCTGGGGGGGAAGCAGAGGATGGAGAGCCCAGGATCCTCACCAGCTGCCCCCCAGCCGAGCCACCCCTGCTCCAAACCCCCACAGGGACCCCAGAACCCCGAACCCAGGAGCAAACCTGAGTGTCCCCCTAAAACAGCTCGTTGAGCATCCTAAAATCCCAAATGATTCAGGGAGAGGATGCCACGGCTTGGAGCCATTTTGAGGCCACCAGTGCTGGTGTCTGTGCACATTTAAGGTGACAAGTGATAAAAAACTCCGATGGAAACCTCTCTCCTGCTCTCTGCAACACAGAAAATGCCATAATGGAGATTGACCCGACTATTTCCTTCTATTTGTTATTTCTTTATCTTTCTCCCTCGCCATTCCTGCTGGTGGGTTCAGGAGAACTGTTTCCCTTTTCTGTGCAATGTGCCATGAGGCAGAGCACACACAAAAATAACAGGCTGGGAGGTGATTTAAGGCTGCCAAAAGCACCTCCGTTCCTAGAGAGCTTTTCCACGACTAATCTTCACTTGCTGTTGTCCTTTTAAATGAGGCAGAAACAAGCAGAGGGAGGGGGGAACTTGGCTCAGCAGGAAACCTTCCTGCTCCCCAGCAAGCAGCTGTCCAGGATAATCCCAGAGAGACAAAAATCCGAGTGGGAACAAACCCAGCAGCCGGTGCAGAGCTGGGCTGGGCACGGAGTCCTGATGTCCCCAGGGTGTGGGGACATTGTCCAGGGCCATGGCAAAGCCCAGCCTGGCTCCTGCCAGGGTCAGCTGGACAGACAGACCCCAGGAAACAGAGAAAGGTTGAACAGATTTTTCTCACCTCCAAGGGAAAAGCTCAGCGCCAGCACTGCAGCAATACGAGATTGGGAAGAGCATCCCCAGGGCCAGCCTGGCTTGCAGGAGGAGTTTCAGACCCCTCCTCTGCCCCCCCGCCCTGGTACCTGTTTATTTCGGAAATAAAACTCCTTCTGCCCTTGGGGCACCCGCTGGAAGGGGATCCACTCCTCCGTCCCAGCCTGGGCTGTGCAGAAATAGGTGGTGGCAGCAGAATGGTCCCTGTGGGGGCAGGAGGGAAGGGGACAATCCCCCCTCAGGGCACGATGTCCCACCAGCCCCAGCACGAATTTGGGGGGGACCTGGGCACCCACCTGTGCTCCAGCGCTGCCACCACGAAGCCCCAGGAGGCCAATTCTGTGCAGATTGAAGAGTACAAGGTCCTGGAAGGGAGGTGGGAGCAGAGGGGTCGGGGCAGGTCTGAGTGGGGCCACGGAGGGCTCCCCACATCCCTGCCCCAGCCCTGCTCAGGGCTCACGTTACCGAAAGGCTCCCAGGCCGTGGGAGAAGATGATCAGGGGGTACCCACTGCTGCAGGGCTTGAGAGGCCCGTTCCAGCTCACTGGGACTCTGCAGGAGCCTGCAGGGAGGAGAGACCCCCGGGAAAGGTGGGGGGGACACGGGCAGGGGGTGCCACCACTGCTGGAACAGGTCCCTGCTCAGCTCCAGCTCTGCCTGCAGCATCCACCCAGCCACAGGGGGGCTGAACCCCACCAGGGTGGGGGTCCCTAAGGAACGGGGAGCCCCCAGGGTGGGGATGTCCCCCCTCACCGACGGCGATGCTGAGCAGGGTCGAGCACCAGCGGCGGCCGAGGGTGACATCAGCCAGGCCCCCGCAGTACTCGGGGCGAGGGATCCAGAGCGGCTCCACGGCCCCTGCCCGGGGCAGGCACGGGTAGAAGAGGCGGAGGAAGAGCCCCTGAGGGAGACAAGGGAGGGAGGACACAGTGGGGACAGCACAGAGGGTGGTGGCCGTGTCCAAAAGCAGCTGGCTGCAGCCACCCTGCTCTGCATGGAAACCTGTCCCTGTCCCTGTCCCCATCCCCGTACCTGCGGCGTGTGCCCCACCATGACATCCGTGCAGCCCACCTGGTGGGGTCCCTGCCCCGGGGGCAGCGCCAGCATCCCCCCCATGCCGAGCCTGGGCAGAGACACGGGGTCAGTGTCTGTCCCCCACCCCAGGGATCCCAAATCGTTCCCTCCTCCTTTTCCCCACCCCTCTCCCATTGCCCAGACCCCCAGTTTCACCGCTGTCCTGGAATTCCCAGGGCACAGCCCCTCGGGGCTGCTCAGGGATGAGACCCACCCCGTTCCTCTCCCGGGACTGGGACCGTGGGGCTGCCCCACGGCCACAGGGTCCTGTGGGGACCGTCCCCCCGCGGGGACAGGGGTCAGTGCGGGGCTGGCACCCACGGGGGGGACGGGACCCTACACCCCCCAGTGCAGAACTACAGCGTCCAGCAGCGCCCGGGGCTGCGGAACCACACCTCCCAGTATGGCCCCGGCCCGGGACCACAGCTCCCAGTATGCGCTGGGAGCCCGGACTACACCTCCCAGTACGCGCAGCTGGACTACAGATCCCAGCGCTTCCCAGTGTCCCTGCAGCTCCCAGCGCTCCCCCCAGCGCCCCCAGTCACCATCGCAGCTCCCGGTTGTCCCCAAATCCCAGCGCTCCTGACAGTTCCCACTGCTCCCCGCAGCCCCCAGTGCCTCCCAGTTCCACCCCAGCTCCCAGTGCCCCCACCCCGAGTCCCCCTGCAGCTCCCAGTGCCCCTCCCAAGCTTCCAGGGCTTTCCCAGTTCCAAGTTTCCCTCTGTGCCTTCCCAGCTCCCAACCACAACTGCCCAGTACCCCCCAATATCCCCCTCCCCAAACACCCCCCGCCCGCACACACCAGTACACCGGGTCACAGCTCCCAGCACGCCCAGTGTACTCTGCCCTGCAGCTCCCAGTGCCTCCCGTGCTCGTGGACTACAGCTCCCAGTAGCCACCAGTACAGGACACCGCTGCGGGGGTCACCAGCCCGAAATCACAGCTCCCAGTGACACCAGTACAGGACACCGCTCCCAGTTCCACCAATGCAAAACCACAGCTCCCAGTGCCCCCAGTTCAGGGCACAATCCCAGTGCCCCCGTGGCAGTCGTGGCCCCTCCGTAAGGGCTGTGCCCAACCCCAGAGCTGCCCTGTCCGTGTCTGCACCCAGCCCGGTTCCTGTCCCCGGGATTGTCCCCTTGTCCCCCCCAGAGCCCAGCGGTGCTCTGGGGCTCTCGGTGCCCATCCCCACGTTCCCTGTCCTTTCCTTAATCCGCTTTCTGGAGCTAAAGCGGCCCCAGGTCCCCAGTAATCCCCTCTGCGGCCAGGGATTAATTCCCTGCGGGGCCGAGCCAGCCAGGCTGGCAAACAAATACCCAAAGATTGGGTGAAAACCAATCTCTACCGAGCTCCCACGCACGCAGCCCCACTCTAGGATCCCCTGGGTGACTGGGGAAACTGAGGCACGCTCTGGGTGCTGGATGGAGCCCTGGGATCGCCACTGTCTGTGTCCCCTGGGGCTGGCACAGGGAGAGGGGACCCCAGCCCGTGTCCCCAGCCATGGATCAGCCGCAGGCTGGGGCTGGCCGGGCTGTCACACCCGTGGCCGGGATCCAGCGCTCCGGTCCCGGCTTGCCCGGCCGGCGGGGCAGGGCGAGGGCGGCTCTGCCGTGGCCGCGGATGCCGGGACGGGGTGGGAGAGGCGAGCCCCGACCTGTCCGTGCCGCCAGGCCCAGCCCACGCCCGGCTCGCCGGAATGGGGTCAGCCCCCCTCCCCAGCACCCCCAAATCACCCTGGGGAGGGTTCTGGATGGAGGTGATGGGTGACAGCTCGGCTGTTCGGGGCCATCCTGCTCCTGCTTCAAACTGAGCCCAGGGTGGGACTGCGGGGTTCGCTGGTGAGCCCCGGGGGTCCCGGTTCTGTGGCTGTCACCGGGAACCCCCACACTGAGCTCAGAGTGTTCACAGGGCCCGTCCTTAAAGGGATTCACTCGGCCCACATTCCTGCTCGGCTCCTGCTCCGGTCACCCCACCAAGAGATCTCAGTGATTTGGGGGGTCAGGCCAGGCTGGGACCCCATCCCTGCCCCCCAGAGGGTGAACCCCACAGTCCCCGGGCCGTAGGCATGGCAGTGTTGAGAGCTGGCATTGACTTTGCGAGGATGCAGAAGGACCCCTAACCCTGCCTGGGGGTCGCCTGCGACCCCGGGGGTGTCCTTGGAGCCCGGGGGTCGCTGGAACCCGGGGGTGTCACTGGTGGAGGTGGCCCCAGCTGTGTTTCTGTCCCTGCTCTCCATCACTGCCCCATGGGGTCATGACTCCATCACTGCCCCCGTCCCTTTGGGGGTCTCCCGAGGCACGGAGGGGCTGGGGGCTGAGATCTGGGGATCACGGTGGTCACGGAGGCCACGAGGACAGGGGGACACGGGGGGACACGGGGGGACACGGGGGGACACGAGTAGGGGTCGATCCCGCAGCCCCGGCGCCCCCGGGACCCCCCTGTCCCACGTGGGCGCGGCCAATGGCGCGCGGGGCGGGGCGGGGCTCGGCCGGACACGCCCACTCGTGTGCCGGAAGAGCCAATGGGAGAACGAGGGCGGGGCGAGCCGGGGAGGGGGCGGGGCCAGCGAGCCGTGGAACAGATGCGGGCGGGGGGGGCACGTGGAGCGCGGGGGGGACGCGGGACCACCGGGACCGGCCGGACAGCGGGGACACGGACACGGACACGGACACGGACACGGACACGGACACGGACACGGACACGGGGACAGCCAGCCCCGCGGGGACTGACAGGCACAGCCAGCTCCGGGAGGGAACAGGGGACAGCCAACCCTGGGCGGGACAGACACACGGACGGACGACGGACAGCAAGATCTGGGAGGGGACAGGGGACAGACAGTCCCAGGGGGACAGACGGACAGGGAACAGCCAGCTCTGAGGGGGACAGGGGACAGCGGGACAGTTAGCCCCGGAGGGAACAGACAGACGGACAGGGGAGGGACAGGAGGACAGGGGAGCTCAGCTGGGTCTTGGACAGGCATCCGAGGGGACACGGGAACACAGAGCCCAGCGCAGGGACAGACGGACAAGGTGACAAGGGGGACGCACTCTCCCGACTCCCCAGCCCTGGGAGCGGCTCCTCCGCCCGGCCGCGCACCGGGAGCCCGGCGGGGCTGCGGAGCACCGGGAATGCAGCCCGGAGCCGCGGGCAGGCGGCGATCGGGGCTCCGGGACACGGCGGCCCGGCACCCACCCGGGACCGCGACTCCCCGAAGGTAACGGGGGAGCGGGCAGGGAAGGAGCAGTGGAGAGAGGGGGGCTCCGGTGCCTGCGGGAGGGTTTATTCCCAGGCTTTTATTCCCAAGGGAGCTGGGGCGGGGGGTCCCGCCGCAGGGATGTGTGGAGCCACTTGCGGTGACACGGCTGGCGGCGACAGGACGGTGACGACGCGACCTCTCCCTTTCTCCAGGGATTTGAAGCTGGGTCAAGCGATGGAAATGTCATTGTCGCGGCTCGGGGGCCCGGAGAAGTGAGCGGCTGGGACACCCGGGCACCGGGCTCTACTCTGCAGCCGGACACGAAAAACCAGCAGAGCCCTGGGCAGAGCGGGCACAAAGTGGGGTTGGTCACAGACTGCAAGGGCACAGGACAATACCTGGGGGCCAGGAGCCGTCCCACCACCCACTTGGGAAACATCGGCCTCTTGACCGGACTCTGGCACCCATCTGAGCCCGATGAGGAGCTGGGGCTGCGTGTGAACCTATGCAGACCAGGAAGAAATACATTTTCCTGACTTTCCTTGCCTCTTGGCTCCTGCTTTTCTTCTTCGGAAGGGATCAGCTGCGCCGTTTCGCTTTCTTTTCCGGGAGGAAAGCAGAGGCCCGGAGGAACTGGCCCCGCTGGACGGATCGGTCCCTCCTCAAAAGCTTTGCGGACCCCGAGGAGCTGCAGAGGGATGGGGACCCTGCCCTGCTGTCCCCCCGGGAGCGGCGGGCGGCGTGGCTGAGCGTCCACAGGAGCAGCAGATGCCGGATGGAAACCTGCTTCGACTTCTCCAGGTGTGAGAGGCACGGCTTCAAAGTGTTCACCTACCCCCAGGAGCGGGGCCAGCCCGTCTCGGAGACCTACGGCAAAATCCTGAGCTCCATCGAGCGCTCCCGCTACCACACCCCGAACCCCGAGGAAGCGTGTCTGTTCATCCTCAGCATCGACACGCTGGACCGCGACCACCTCTCGGGCCAGTACGTGCGGGACGTGGATGAGAAAATCCGCGGCTTTCCGCTCTGGAATGGCGGCAGGAACCACCTCATCTTCAACCTCTACTCGGGCACCTGGCCCAGCTACACCGGCGAGCTGGGCTTCGACATCGGGCAGGCCATGCTGGCCAAAGCCAGCTTCGACACCCAGAGCTTCCGACCCGGCTTCGACGTCTCCATCCCTCTGTTCTCCAAGGACCACCCGCAGCGTGGTGGGGACAGGGGGTGGCTGTACCAGGACTCGGTGCCCCCCAAAAAGAAATACCTGCTGGTGTTTAAGGGGAAGAGGTACCTGACGGGCATCGGCTCCGGCACGCGGAACGCGCTGCACCACATCCACAACGGGAAGGACATCATCTCCCTCACCACCTGCAAGCACGGCAAGGACTGGGAGAAGCACAAGGACACGCGCTGCGACAAGGATAACGTCGACTATGAAAGGTGAGTCAGGGATGGGGTGGGAGGGTCTGAGGCCACGGGACACCCCACAGATGTTCCTGCCTCTCTCCGTGACCGTCTGTGGCGGCCGGAGCTCCAGAAAGGGAAGTTTTGGGTTCTCCTGAAATGGAAGAGGCTTTCCTTGCACAGCACTCCCTGCTCAGGGCTTTCCTGCTCTGTATTAAAGTTGGAGCAATCTGGCGAGAGCGGCTCTTATCTGCAATCGCTGCCACTGCCTCTAATACGATTTCCCTTTTTCCGAACGCTGATGAATGACGCTTTTCTTTTCCCCCCTCCCGCTCTCCCCCAACATAAACGTTTCTCTTGGAGATGAGCCCGAAACATCCCCCCCTCACTGGCTCCACTGAAAATCCCACAAAACTGGCGGGTCTGTGGGTGTCCCAGTGTG